CACACACACACACACACACACACACACACACACACACACACAACACACACAACACACACACACACACACAACCCCTCATTTCACCTACAAGCTGAAGCTTCACCTTCAGAACTTGTTAATTCTTCTCCAAGTGTTTCTGTGAACCAGAGTGGCTCTGACGTCCTCTGACATCACTGTCCTTGTCCTAACCGTCCTCCTCGTCCTCTCACTCTGAAGCTAAATGTGTTTCAGGTGTTTATGTGATGAGTCGTGTGCAGCAGCACAGGTAACTTTAGAGTTTTGAATGCAGTGTGTTCTTTGTGACAAGAGATTTTCTTGTGTAGATGTTTGAAAAAAGTGTGTTTTAGACCTGAAATGTAAGAGTGCGACAGGAAATGTGTTTGTAGTTGATCAGATCTGTTTCAGGTGCTGAAGCTACAGGTCGTGGTCATTTTGTGAGTTCACTCAGGTTGAACTCTCCTGAATCAGGGSTTTATCTGAAGTTTTAGCCCTGAAGAGGCAGGAATCCTCTCAGATTTGTGTGTCTTTGTGTTGTGTGTGAGTTGTTACCCAGAATCCTCGATGTCCACACACTTGGTGTAGCTGTCGTTGGAGTACAGGACCACGGTGGCCACCTGGTCSACTGAGGGGGACAGAGGGACATTCAGAGCTGGTGTCCAGCAGGAAGAGGAGCGAGCTGGTGGTCCTACCTGACAGCAGGATGTTCTTGATGTTCTTGTTGGAGCTGTTGGCGATGCTGACGTGGACCTGGATGGTCTCACCGTGGTAATAAAGCTAAACACAGAGAAGAGACGCCTCAGCTCTGATTGTTTGTTCGTTTTTCAGATAAATAAAGATAAATATCAAAGATCTGACCTCTTTGTCCAGAGAGGCTTTGATGACCAGAGGCTTGTCGGACATGACAAAGTCTTTGCTGACCTCTACGGAGGGAGGTGGACCCTGGGTCTCTGGAGCGTACTGGACCTTCCTGATCATCAGCTTCACTGAGCTCCTGAACGAACAGAGACCGGATCAGACCAGTTTCCTCTTCATATCACCATCAGGACAGGCTCCACTCACCTCTTGCGCACTTTGGCGTCCTGGCTCTCAGCGCTGAAGGCTTTAATCTCAAACTCCACGGCACATTGCTGCAGGAGGAGGACAACCTGTCAGGGTTTGTTTCTGACTGATCCAAAAACTGAAAAACTTCACGACACCACAGAAGATAAACCCTCTGAGCAGTGGTGGGCACCAGMMCACTAAAGCGCAAATCTGATAATTGCGGACCTAAATATTTCATTTGCGCTTTAGCGGTCTTACTGATTTTTACAATTCATAAGCAGATTTGTGCTTTCTAAAATT